GTCCAATATCCGAATTCCTCAGCGAAGGAGGACGGCTGATCACATCGTAGATCAGTCTCTAGCGGAGATACACGCTGAGGTCTCGTGGCTAATCTGTCGGCATTTTAGCAGCCTTTCGGTGGATGGCATGCTCCCGTCTAGGGGCATTCCCTCCGTTCCCCTATGTTTTTCTGTATAGGCCTCCTGATATACGTCATCGGCTTCGTATGTCTGGTCTTCTGGGCTACACTATGGGTTGGAGAGCTCTGTGAAACTGACCCGTCGTGAGTGCTCGTCGGGTGGCTAGTTGAACACAGCCGAGCTCGTCTGCCACAGGTACATGAAGAGGTTCCGATTTCTGTTCTACCGATTTCGCCAAGACCGCTATTACTGGTCGACCATCATTGTTACACAGAATATGGCTCTATCTCTCGTGCCGTTTATCAAGGTCGATGACATGTACGTTAAAAGGCCGACTGACTACCATTAGTGTCCAATGAGGCTAAGCAGACCGGAATTGTCAGGAACTCATTATGCGCTCTTGGCTCGTCTCACTGCGAGAATACTCGCCTTACTTGCAGCAACTTGTCGCGTACTTGTCCTTCTACGTAGATATCTGAAGATTCTCCTGTTCGATATTATCATATCTGCTGCGCTCGTAATGCAGTTTAAATTCTGGCCATGGAGGAGCCATCTTTTCAACTGGTCCGAAGTCGTGTCCCAGGCCCTCATGCTAATCACCACGATAATCTCTGCAGTGAGTTTGAATATCTGTTGTATTGCAGGCATCGATTTAGACTACAAGGATCTTCAAACTTTCCTCAAAATTTTAATATTGCCACCAACGCTGTTGTTGACCATGTGCATATTCTTCCACCCTGGACTACACACTGTGTTTCATCAGTGTAACGAAGTAGGTATTCATCGCGCGAGAACGAGAGTTGCCGAGCGGGAAGTCTGCAGTGAACACTTTGTTGGTCATCCTCATTATCACAGGAGCTATGTGAGCCCGTAGTTTGAATCTGGTGGCGTTGGCGATGATTCGAAAGACTATACGAAGAGCATTCAAATATTCCCTCTGTCGAATTTCATTATTCTATGGGGAATATGCACATGGTCAACTATGTGTCGGTGACAATATAAGGATGCTGAAAAAGTTTCGGCGCAAAAACTTGCAGCGCGACTTAACTAAGTCGTGCGTAGCCTTTAATAATGTAGTGACGGAGCTCCTGAGCTCAGCTGAGGAAACCAAATATAGACTCTTCGGAATGTGTCCCCTCGTCTCGACGGCACCAGTTGCCAGGCTATGCTAGACGATGCACTCTGGATCGGTCAGTGTACCTTTGGCTGGGTATTAAACTATCTAGTTTCGTCGTGTTGCTGATCGGTGACACTTTTCATGCACCATATTATTGTCCCTACGTCGTTCAAGACTACCAACTTCGACGTAAACTTCGATAAACTGTCCATTTGATGCGAGAAAAGTGGTGACATCCGTCTTGGCCTCATCGGCAGGCTATTCATCACAGCTACAGCATATTCTATTTATATCGCTCGCAAGGGAGGCAGCTTGCAAACAGAGGTCGAACCATGTGATCGATTCCAGAACGAGGTCAGGACCAAATGGAAGGAGCTGGTACGAAAGAACTCATTAATCATCGACCCCACATGGTGAACTAGGTTGAATCTTTTATTGACTCTCCCGATGGTCACACGTGCGTGGATATCACAGCTATCATGAACAAATATGACCTGGAGAGATTCACAGTGGTAAGTGGGCTGACGAAAAAATATTCGTCGTGCTCAACTTTCACGGTAAAATCTACACAAACGCGCATTGGAGGGGGCATCGATAGTGCATCATGCCCATAGAAGAGTATCGAATCCGATGTTCTTGCAAATGCGACTTCCCACAGTTGCTCGAGACGATTGCTGCCACACTGTATATACCACCAGAGAGCGTCCAAGCTATTTCCAGCACAATCATGACCAGGACAGCTCTGCTTGAGAATCTGCCAGAGATTCCTGAGAGGAGTCAATCCCCGGAAAATGCAGAACCTGCCCCCTTCCGCAGGTGAGCTTCAAGCCATAACGGAGTTCATCCATTAAGGCTGACAGTTGTTTATTCTCCGTTTAATCGCTCATTACACGAGTCGTGTAACACGACCCAGCCGTCCCTCAGGGCTACTGTGAGTAAGACGATGCCTGCTCGCTCCCGGAGGAAGCACGGCACGGTTAGCGTGAGTCCTCCTATCGAAACCAGTGGCGAAGCGAGAAGATCGCAGAGGAAACATACGATCATACGTCGTAAGCATCGTTCTGATGGCACGATTAAACGGGTTTTGAGGTGCCTCGAAGATGTATTGGGAAAGAAAGCTGCCACGAGGCGTCACCACACTGTTTGCTGTGATTTGTTAGCGTCTGCAAGGAGACACACCGTTACGGGTGCGAGACCGGCTATAGGACAGCAGCCCGCGTTAGTGTATCCCGTTCGATCGCGGAGGAGGCGCATCAGCTTCGTCAGGTAGCTGCATTCGATGGAACTCATCTGCAGCCGGAATTTTCAGGCCCGAGACCATCGAGGCGCAGCGCGAGCAACAAGCTAATATTGATTTCCAAGCTATGTTCGAGGAGTTTGCCAGGAACACTGACCGGTGCCCGAACCAATTTTTCGGCTATGTGTGGATCCCTTTAGTCCTCAGCCACTTGGAGCCCCCAATATCAGGAGTCGAGTAAGGAGTTACCGCACGTCGCTCATGTATTGTTGTAACAATAGTGGTGGTGGTTTGTGTTGAGTAGTTCAGTGAACTATTTACCGACACGAAGGGACGAGTGATGCACAGAACTCCATCAAGAATTCAATGATCCTACTAAAGCGCGTTCTGGGATAGTGATGAGCTAAGTCATCATACAGGACGGTAGAGAAGCCGTCAGTTGACTCGACAAGAGTCATGCGAAGCGACCGACGCCTAAATGTTGACGGCGGTGTCGAACCAGTGTGAGTCGCTGAGTCCTCATAGTGACTCTCAGTATGTCTCCGAGTACAGCTGGCTCGTGTTGCTCAGCAAGAGTTGATGATAACTTCACACGGAGCGACAAGATATGCATGGGAGTATTGATCACTGCTCGACAAGCACTCAGACTGGCTCCCTCGTCAATAAATGGTTGAAAGGGCACGACTAACGAGTACGTGCAGCGTGGCTATCGTTGTGCTGCGCTTTCAGTTGAATGAGTGGTTGCTTTAATAAGCGACATTATTCATGTCTTTGGAGCGTGAGGGCTTGCCTTTCGAGTTTCTCTTGCCGACAACACGCTATGACAAAGCCCCGTACTAGAACACGAACTTGAGTTAGCATCAGCTGTACACTCAAGCAACATGGACGCTATCAATCATGTTTCTCAAGCCTGTGAGGAGGGTCGATTGAGAGCCACATCGACCCTGACATAAGGTGATCCCGTCTGCGTGTAAGGAGTAGTCGTATGAGCAGAAGTATAACGTGATGACGGATAAACGACATCTGCTGGGCGGTGGTTCATTGAGACCAGCTTAGCCTGACAGAGGGCCGTGACATGACGCAGTAAGCAATCGGGTTACCCTTTCGTTCCCGTCAAAAGAAGTGAGGTCGATGCTGTTGTTCGCTGGCGCTGCAATGGTGTAGCTAGGAACCCAGCTACTGCCCATCCGAGCGGTATACGATCCCGTTGTATCTGCTGAGGCAACTTGGTGTTCTATTTGCGGGGTCTACCTAGCCCTACCGAGCGGGGCTGCTAAACCCCATGGGGCCGAACTGGTCCTCGTAGCTCTGGGAGTGTTGGGATTGGTTCGACTAGTTCTCGGCGTGTTGGAGTCCAGTGGGGACGGGAAACCTGTCGATGATCAGTCGCTGGCTGGCTGAAACCTTCCGGACCCCCACGTTCAGAACGCTGCACGGGCAGCGCCTTCTTGAATGGGGATTCCGCTCTCTCTCTGGTCGGGGCGTTATCGCTGTTCCCACCGCCACCCTGTGAAAGCAGCTAACAAGATACCCAACCGATGCTGCAAGGCTAGGGCCTACCACTTGCTGCGATTGCCTTCCTCCCTTTCCCTCGCACCCCTTGCAGTGTTCATGTAGATCTTGACGAAGGTCTGCGAGCTCCTAACATACGATCTCTCCCAAGAAAGAGAACCCGTACTGGTCTTACTGTCCTCAGCTGGTCGACTTGCTTACTCACGCTAGCAGCCTCCTCGTGACGCTCCTCTCGTAGCATTTTGATCTCTCTGTTCATGCCGGATAATATCCCCACTAGAGAGGCCATCTCCTGCCTCACACTCTGAGGCACGATAAGCTCCCCAGCAGACCTTCAGCATCCATTCTCACATCCTCGAATTTGTTCCGCGACTTCTTCAGCGTTGTTATATCCTTACTGGCCACCTCCAGTGCCTTGAATGCCGCCTCGAACTGTTGCTGCCATGTGCTACTGAGTGTATTCAGGTCCCGCCGGAGCAGGTCGACCGCGTTACGTTGGCTGCACAAGCGTGTGCGCATAGAGGAAGACCATTAACCCTTACATCTTCGCCTCCCTCCCACACTGTCTCATTGCTGCACCAGTCGCCCTTTCGTCCTCTTGACTCGACGAGCGGAGATCAGACAACCACTCAGCGAAAGCCAGGACCTATCAAGTTGTTTAATACCGAGATGGAAGAGGCTTCACTTCACCGT